CCCAGATGGGAGATGATGTAGAGCTCTACGTGAAAACTTGCCTTGTGTGTCAGCAAGACAAGGTGGAACACGCCCTGTTTCTGGCTTACTAGAGCCACTTTCGATCCCGAGAGACCATGGGAAAGTATTTCCATGGACTTCATCATCACTTGTTTGCCGAAGACAGAAGGATGCATCAACATTATGGTGGTGGTGGACCGGTTTAGCAAGTATGGAGTGTTCATACCAGTCCAAACCAAATTCACTGCAGAAGATGCTGCGAAGTTATTCTTCAAGTTTATGGTAAAGTATTGGGGCATACCAAAGACTATTGTGAGCGATCGGGACACTTGCTTCACAGGAAGATTTTGGATGGAGCTCTTCAAAATTATGGGGTCCGAACTTAACTTTTCCACAAGCTTTCATTCACCCGCAGACCGATGGCCAAACGGAGAGGGTGAACGCTTTACTGGAACTATACTTGAGGCACTACGTAAGTGCCAACCAAAGGACTGGGCTAAGCTCTTGGACATTGCCCAGTTTTCATACAACTTGCAGAAAAGTGAATCAACTGGGTCAAGTCCGTTCGAGTTAGCCACGGGCAACAACCGATGACTCCGCACACTTTAGCTGTTGGCTAAAAGGCCCGAGTCCTCAGCTTTCAAGTTTGCCAAGGGGTGGCATGAAAAATCAGACATGGCAAGGGCGTACTTAGCTAAGGCCGCGAAAAAGATGAAGAAGTGGGCCGACGCTAAGAGGAGGCACTTAGAGTTTGAGGAAGGTGACTTAGTCATGGTGAAGCTCCTTCCTCATCAAAGCCGAAGGTTTGCCAAGGTTCATAAAGGGCTAGTGAGGCGCTATGAAGGACCGTTTCCTATAGAGAAACGCATCGGTAAGCTAGTCTATCGCTTGACTCTACCTTCACACTTGGAGATGCATCCTGTTTTTCACGTAAGTCTACTGAAGCCATACAACAAAGACAAGGATGAACCAAGTAGAGGTGAGTCTAGAAGAGCCCCTACAGCAATTACTACGGTGCCAAACGGAAGTTGAGGAAATCCTCGCGCACCGAGTAATACCGAGACGTGGGAGTCATCCGAGTTACATTGAATACTTTGTTAAATGGAAAGGATCTCCCGATAGTGAAGCAAGCTGGGAACACGAGCTGGCTTTATGGGACTATAAGGAGAAGATTGAGGCATACAAGAGGGATGCGCCGAGGACGTCGCCACATTAAGTGGGGGAGAATGTAACGCACCGCTCATGTTTTGCCCAAAATTTCAAAAAGGCTCGCTACCCAGAACTATCCAAAGGTGTCCACAAAAGTCTTGGGTAAGTCCGGAACTCTCTAGAAATGTGTGGAACTTGTTTGAGAAGCTTGGAGGGTTGCAGAATATTATAGATAATTGTAGAGACACCTAACCCCTTTGTAAATATCTAGATATTTTTGTAGAGTATTCTAGATACAACATTGTAACCGTTGGATCAAGTAGATCTTAGCCGTCCATTGAGGAGGTGGAGAACTATAAATACCCCTCCTCCTCATTCATTTCTCACACTCAAGAAAGTGAGAGTGTTGTAAGTACTTCAAGAGATCAATACAAAGTTCTTTCTTTAAGTCTCTTGTTCCTTCGTCAGTAGGCTAACTAGCAACTTAGAGCAAGAGGTTTGCTAGGCCGCACGGTTCGTTGGAATTACGACCAAGTCCGTGACAGCTTGCGTTTGGGTTCCATCATATTGGAAAAAAAACAGACAACAAAACTTCATAACAGTGAAACCATGTGTTATGTGACAGCGTGTGTAGAGACATACGTATCATCAAATATTTATGTTATGTTTTTCATAAATATTTGCAAAAATGTGTTTGCCTTTCGAAAGAATTGCAGAGCTGAACTAGCTAGTAGCTGTCATGACTGTTTCGCATATTTATATACTTCTCTGGTATTAAATATTATTAAATATAAGACTTTCACCATTTTGTTCTACTTATATTTATTTTATTAACTCTAATAATTACATATATTAAAAAAGTTTACATTAAATGATAGTTTCAATCCAAATAATTTAAGAACGTATTTTAAAAAAACTAATACATATTTTTGACAAATAATTATTTTAACTACTTTTCTTAATTTTTGAATGATTGAAAGAACTGGATCCACATTTAATAAGAAGTACTGAGCGTGGTTGGCACGGTTATGTTTAAGGTACTGCATGGTTGGGATCGCATGTAGCTACAAAAGGCGATGCAGAAACAGTGTCTCGTGAGATTATCTTCTAATTAACTCATATATGAGAAGCGAATGGATCCCTTGGTCTGAATAATAACGAGCCGTGAATTTCACTTGTTCATTTATACTCAAATATATATTTTAGGTTATGAATTCTCTTCTGTTTCTTATAAATAGTTAAATTTGTATTGTAAATCCATAAATTTTTGTTATAAATCTTCAAATTTCACTTGCTCATTTATATTTAAATACTTGTATTTAGAGTTGTGAATTGCATTATGTTATTTGTAAATTGCCAAATTTTTATTGTAAATTACTGAATTTTACTTGTAAACTATCGAATTCCATTTGTTTATTTATACTTGGACACTTGCGTTTGTTTTGTTATATATATTTTTATTTGCATCATATGATTAAATGGCTTGCTTGATTTAGTGGTTACATCACTTTTAGTATGCCAATGGGTTATGGGGTCAAACCTTTCTTTAGCTATCTTGTTTTTCAAAAAAAAAATTCCAACCACCGGAGCCACAGTAGCGGCCACTGGAGGTCCAACCTCCGACGGCGGCCACCTGAGCGTCGGTGGTCGGACTCTGACAACCATTAATATTATTTTTTTTTTAAAAAGTGAGAGGTATTATTATAATTTTACTCTTAATTTTAATTTTAGTTTGATCTCTTGATCCTGCAATAATATTTCAGAATGTTTTGGGGTTGATTGAAATAAATTCTCACTTACAGACCTTAAATGAAATTTTTCCATATATATATATATATATATATTCACAAGAGCATAATATTTTCTGATTTTCTCATTTCCCCGCGTTCCCGCTGGAAGCTAGTAATGCCCGTCCCATCATCATCATCATCATCATCATCATCATCGTCCTCAAAAACCGCACATGTCCATCCATTAACTCCAAACTTGCTCATCACGCTTCCATTCCCATTATATATTCTTCATCATCCTTCTCTCCACTTCTACCTCCAATGGATTCTCACTCTTCTACTCCCTCGTGGTCCGGCCTTTCCAGAGATCTGCTCCTCGATATTGTTAACCGCCTTGATTCCCGTATTGATCGTCTTTCCGTCCGAGCTGTTTGCCCCTCATGGCGCTCCAAGGTCCCTCCGCCGCCCCGGAGGTCCTCTCCGCCACTCAACCTTCCCTTTCCAGTGGGTCCCAACCCTGATCTGAACCCTAGGCTTCGTGGTTACTTCGACTTTGCTGAGTCCACCGTCTACTGCTTTCAACCCCTCAGGAAAATCTCAGGCGGTTGGAGGACTCCCAAGTGCTGGCTCATCAAGATCGAGGAGGCTGAAGAGCTCGGCACACCTGTAGTTCGCTTCAAAGACCCTCTCTATCGCTTTGATTATTACTGTCGAGACTTGTCCCCACATCTTCCTGAGCGCTTGAATCTCCTTGATTACAGGGTCTCTGAGATTGCTAAATTTTATGAGCTTCGATATGCGTCTACTGGGAAACAATCACTACCTCAACTGTATTCTGAGATACAGTCTCCAGACCTTAAATCTCTCATCGTTAAGAGAGTTGCTGTGTGTTCTGAGAGTGCTCATTTTGCAGTTATGACCATTCACACGGGTGGCCATTTAAGTATTTGGAGAAAGGGTGATAAGAAATGGACTCGTATAAATGATGGCCGAGACGTTGCTTCCTATAACGATGTTGTTTATCACGATGGGAAGTTTTATGCTGTGGATAACTCTGGCTTCACTATTTCAGTGGATTTTTCGTTGAAGATTACAAGTGTTGCCCCAGTGCTGCCTCCTTGTGGTTATAATAAAGATGATGATCGGGAAAAGCGCTTGGTGAATTCTCTTGGAGATTTGTTCCTCCTAGATAAGGACCGTTATCCTCTGGATGTTTTTCTTGCTCGTTGTGACCCTGATGACAGCATGGGTGCTTTTCCCACATATTTTCATGTCTATAAACTGAACGAGGAAAAACGTCAATGGGTTAGGGTGAAAAGCTTGGGAAATAGGGCTGTGATTGTTTGTGATATGTGTGCCTTCTCTATTTCAGCTCAAGACTTTCGTGGGTTTAAGAAGAATTGCATTTACTATTCTGAAGATTGCTTCTGTGGTAGAGATAAAGAGCCAGGCCATGATGCTGCATTGTTTGACATGGAGGATTGTTCTGCCTGTATGCTTCCAGGTGTGACGGGCTATTCTGGAGTTTTCTGGCCTCCGCCGTCTTGGGTTGTGTCTGGTAATGCAAGGGTGAGATTTTGTCGCATTATAATGCTTCTAATCACTTCCTATTGTTATTATTCTAGTTATTTCTTGTTGGTAGAGTAATATTCTTGGCTTTTCACTCTAGCTTCCGATGATCATGACAAATCCCTAATATGAAACTGATTGCTAATTATTCTTGTTATTTCTTTATATTTGAGATCAAATAATACGAAACTGAAATAAGTGAAGTATACCACCCCTCCTCCTTTGAGAGTGAGGGATATATAATTGTTTTATTTATGTTATCTTTGTCATAAATATTTGTAAGAATGTGTTTGGCTTTTGAATGAATTGCAGAGCCGAACTAGGTAGCAGCTATCACGACGCTTTCGCATTTGGGAAGATTCTGATGAAGATGTGGATATATATCATGGAAAGGGGCAGGTCTTATTTTGTTTTGAACTAACGAACTTTATGTTATGTATGTATGTATGTATGTATGTTATCCTGTGAATGTTTCCTAAATTAAATTTATATTTTGTCGAAGACTGTGGTCTAAAGTGGGATGATATTTTTAGGAATGTATTTACGTAACGTAGTATGCTTGCTTGCACGTTAAAAGTTCTTACTTGTTTGCTAATTTTCATAGACTTCTTAATGTATGTTATTATATATAACCTGCTTTTCTTGATGCTCGTTGCACTGTGGCATGTTTTAATATTGCGGGAACATCTCTTCTGGCGATGAATGGTGCTAGTTACTTTTGATTCGGGTCTCTGTGCTGCCAAATAATGGACATAACTAGAGTGACATCGCCCAAGAAATACCTTGTCTAGTTGGCATGGTTATGTTTAAGGTTTTCCATGGTTGGGATTGCTTGTAGCTAGGAAAGGAGATGCAGAAACAGTGTCTAGCAATGATCTTATGTATGAAAATCTGAGGGGGTACCAAATACCAATGGTTTTATTTTCAATAACTGGAAGAAAATGGAAACAAGGATAAAATTTATTCCTATCTGAATAATGATGAAACGTTGAATTTCTATGATACAAGATTTTAGGTATATATTCGTGTTATTCCCACCCTATCCATGTAATTTATTGATGGAATATTGAAGTTAACTATTTTACTTCACTATACAAAATTGCGAAGCGGCTTTAATTTGAAGACTGAAGTTTACATTATCACGGTCCAAAGGGGAAGCGAAGTTATATACTTTTCATCACTTTCTATTGTCTGTATTGCTTTGCGTAATTTTTAGAGAAAGAATAGGCGTCGACCTAGCTAGTGTTGATTAGCGAGAGTAACAAAGTGTCTCTTGTCTTATGGCGATGGAATAATCAAGCATCTGATTAACTAAACGCAAATTTTAGTGTTTGCATTGAGAGGTTCCCTCTCTCCTGACAATGCGGAATTGCATGTTATATTACCATAAATTAGGCTTTTTTTTAAAGAATCGGTGATGATGAATGGATTATAATTAACTTGTATATGGTCATGTATTTCATGGTTGTTATGGCAAGTGGTTTGTGTGCTATGTATCTTTTTGAGTACTTCATTCGTAGTTTTCTTCCCTATGCTGTGGTTTAATTGATTGGGCAAGAGTGCCTCATACTTGATACATTTTTTGTGAAAACTATTATGTTTTTTCTTGATTCGTAATACTACTTCCGATCCTAATTATAAGAGTCAGTTGACTAATTTGAAGAAATTAAGAAAAGAAGTTAAGTTAGTTACTTGTAATAAATAGATGTTGTCTTTTCTAAAATATTCTTCTTAATTAAGTATGTTGGTTAAAACTATAATTATTAGAAGGATTATCTTAAAAAAAATTGAGTAAATATGAGAGACAAAATATTAGGATTTTATATTTAGGACCAACATAAAAGTCAAACGAGATTTTATATTAAGAACCAGAGCTAGTATTATATCGTATAACACATCTGTTTTTGAAATTTTTCCTAACATCATCACTTCTGATGCCAGTCATTCCATTTCTTTTTTTTTATATTTTTTATAATGGATCAATGCTAATCATTGCTTTGACCATGTGATAATAGGTGTATATATTTTTATTAAAAATAATATTTCTCTTGAAGATTATTATAAATCTTTCTGCACTTGTTTTTAGAGTAAAGGAAAAAGCAACCACCAAAAAAAAAAGAAAGAAAAAGGCAACACCCCACATTGTCCTGAGTACTATTCACTTCCTAGTTTTCAACGCAAAAATGTTTTTCAAATGAAAAGAACTATAAAAATAACAGTGATAGCTCGTTAAAAGTCTTTAAAAGTAATTATTTTGCTTATCTTTTATTTTATTGGAGGAATTTTCCTTTTTTTAAGGGATAAAAAGATCAATTATGTAAAATGAAAAAGATTATATAACTAGGGTGTAACCTTCTTATTGAGAAAATAAGATGTGTTATAAAACTAAAGAAAGAATAGATAATAAGAGAAGAGAATAAGGGAGAATAGAAGACTTGATACAATCTACATATTACATAATAATAAAAGATAATTATAAAATATAGAGATAATAAAAAATCAGAAATAATAAGAGATATATAGACATGTATAAAAATATTATTATATTCATAACAGGAGTGAGGTTTTTTTTTTTTTTTTTTTAAATTCCACTCCTCCTAACCCTCGCTCCCGCCTCCTTCCAAAAGTAAGGAGTAGGGAAAGCTTATTATATATACCATGATTCAGGGCTGGTTTGTTTAAAATTTAAAATAAAAATGATCTTAGGAGGAGTTGGAGAGAGAAATAGTTTGTTTCTAGTTTATTTTGATAGGCTAATTAATGAAATGACCAATTTGTTTAAGCTTTGTCCAATGAAAAATCACCAATTTTTGAAAAAAATATTATGAAATTTTGTGATGTTTGTTTTGAAAATACTATGAATATGATTTGTGCATATTTGTTTTCCGAAGCTGCAAAGCATGCCCGATAGCAAGTGGTGAAAAGTTTTAAAAAAACCATAGTTTAATTTGAATTGCCTTCAAATTTTTATAAAATAACCAACAGAAGTTGGGTTTAACAGAAAGAGCTAGTCTATAATAGGATTACCTCCAATAGGAGGATACCTATACTTTACTAAAAATTTTTTTTTATGAAATAGGATGATAAGATCCTAACTTATTGTCAGCCCGATATCGTTCCTCCTCTGTATTTGGTTTCCCGACATCGAATTAAAGTGTTCTTGGCGTCAATTTTCACATGTGTTTTTGAGCTTTGCACAATGATACTATTTTTTTTCTACAACGTAATGCTTTCCACGACCCAATTTCAAAAAGAACAAAATTGTTGAGTACCCAACATTCTGCTTTACTTCCTCATTATTTTAGGAGAGAATACAAGTGAAGGAAGATGAAGAAGAGGATGATGGGGCAGATGGACTGACTCGGTTAGATTTTTTTAAAAAAAAATTATCAAATACTCATAAGCTAAGCTGTATGACATGTTTGCATTTTTTATGGTATTAAAGTAATATTTGATGATTAAAAATAAATTATATATGATAAGGACTAAATTATTATATATGAACAGATTAGAAACTGAGTTATAAAAGAGTTAAAAGTTTAAAGATTGAGTTATATTGAATCATGATTGAGGAATTAAGTTATATTGAGTAAAAAAGACCCAAAAGTTAATTTTTCCTTATTTTAATTCAACTAAATATAAAAACCATTATTTAGATTAGCTTAAAAAAGTTTGTTTTCAGCTTCTTTTTTATAAGCTACTTGGGTTAGCTTTTTAATAAAGTGATGATTTTAAAGAGCTGATGTAAGTAACTTATGAAAATAAGCTGAAAATATGCATTTTTTTTAACCTGCAAGATTGTTTCATATTTAACTTATCCAAACCATTTCTTATAAGCTTAAACAAACAGCCCTTTAACGTCACTTATGAAGTCTTAACTCATGATAATTGGTTCAGTCTACTTCACAGTTAATGATAGTAACTGAAATAATGCGGAAAAAGGCAATTTGAATTTCCAGTGACTGGATCAAGATTCTCAGTCCTCAGAATAACAATACCACATTTGATAGTGCATAGGAGCTCACAATCACATTATATTAGTTCTCACAGAGTTTTGAATGATTTTCCTATGAGTGTGAGTGCTCTCCAAAAGAACCCACTTTTCCGCCATGATGATGAAAAGCTACAAGGTCAGTACTCCCACCAAACAAAGACAAGAAGCTTGTCCTACCGCTCCATCCAATGGAACTTCAGCGACTGGCCCCATAGAATGACGAAGCTACCAGTGAAGGGAAGTCAGTACTGATACAGTGCTGTAAATCCAAATGTTACACAGTGTGAAGCTTGGAAGTAGTTATAAATGTCCAAATCAAATTAAATTGACTTCAACACCGAATAAGGACAACCCCATTGTACAAGTTTTACGGGATTTATGCATTTTCAGTATGCAGTCTAAATTTCAAAACTTGAAACACACAGCAGGAACGGGATTGTTATACTCCCTCCGTTCTTTCTTATAGGGCAACATTACCTGATTCTCACGCACACCCAAAACAGTTTTAATTAATTTGTATCTTAAAATTTCTTCCATCTTTCCACTTCTTCCCTCAATTAATGCTCATCAGTTTCTTAGACTGGGGGTAAAAAAAGATAATGTCTTTACTCAAGCTAGAAATAGAAAAGCACAGTTCCTAAATCTTCACTGGAAGTTATTCATATCCCAAGGAACTAAGATCTGAAAAGCAAATTGTATGCGAACGGTGAAAACAGGGGAAATGACATACTGACAAGCAGCGTTCTGGAGAGGGTCCATTTCTGCTCACGACCCACAATGGAGAAAGGAAGCCAGTGGGCTGGAATGAACGAATGCAGAATTGACACGCTGGCGATAGTTGACAGAATCGGCGGTGTAACCATCCCTTACTCACCAAAAATTATGACAAAAGAAGGTAAAAAGAAGCGAGAAATTGCTCCTGAGATCTGTGAACGGAATTTTGCAGCTGCCATTTCCTCACAAAACTCAAATGGATAGCTACATTACCGGGAAGTCGAGAGAAAAATGCTTCTTTATGCTTCTTGTTTGGGTCTAGTAATTTTCTTACAAACAAGCAATCAAAATCAATTATATTACAAACAGCAACAAGCGAGTCTGGAAAAGATATATGGCTTTGGCTTTGGTTACATTGTCTCTATGAATTGCAGATGACTGCAAGATTTTAAGGCTTTGGTGGCTGATGGAATTCATCATCCCTTCTTCGTCTTGGATGAACTTGATTGCATCTTTATTGCAATCTAGATATTAGAGAGCAAAACAAGCTTATCAATTATAAGCTGAACCAGTTGAGGAATGAATATGGGATTCCTCTAAACTTTGATGGTCGGTTGTATCGATGAACTAGACTTATCAATTGCAATTCCAACTTCACTCAACTCTTAACAATTTCAATCAAAACATGCTAAAACAATGCATGTGATAATGACCTTTTTGGATGGAGGACAAGCTCTTACCGTACAAACAAAGTATTTTATTGCTCAATGTACTCGTAAATATGAGAAGTGTGAGTGTTGAGTATTGAAAGTTGCAAACATGTGCAATCTTAAACGCACAACCAACACTTAATTTGTGGGACTGAAAGTTGTAAATATACAAGACTACAAAGTTTAAACTTTAAATTACAATTACAACATGGATTATATAAATATTTACATTGGCATGTTATCTAACATAACCTTACGTTTGATACACAGTTTAAAGTAACCTTACATTACAACGTCAATAAAAACATAAATTCACACAGCACAGCATGAATGAAAAATGGTTGGTCTGTTGCCAAATATCTCTTCTTCCCCTACTGAATGATAAATAGCATGCTTGGATGGTAGAAATATGAAAACAGAGTCGCCGATGTCGTTGCAAAGGAAGCCGGAGGCCTCACCGCGGAGGCCGTCGGGATGAACGCAATCGAGTACTAAGGAAAACACAAAATTACGCCAAGGAAACTAAAGATTGTTGAGATCACGTTATAAATTTTGCATCATCAAAAATATCCCAAGATTTGACAGTTACTTAATTAATCTATTTTTATCATTTTCTAAAATAATTATAGAATTTATGTAAGTTCATTTATTTTGTGAAGATTTTACATGAGGGAAAATAACACAAAAAAGACACTTAAATTTGAAAATCCCAAAATGATCACTTGAATAAGCAAAATCCCAATTTAGGTACAGGCGACCAATTTGGGACTTGCAAATTTGTTGAAATGACCATATTACCTTTTTTTTTTTATTGTTTTTAAAAAACAAATACCTTCATTAGTTGGCTAGTCATTGAAGCTCCGATACCAGTGGCAGCTAGCCGACAATCAATCGCAGGAGTTTTGGCAGTTGACAACTATTGTTTTGAAAATTTTTATAACTTCAGTAACACGGTTAATAATTTTTGTAATACTATTAAAAATTTAGTATAGCAATTAACAACAATTCCCATAAAGATTATTTTTTTTAATATTAGATACCTATAAAGGTTGTACAATAAAATTTTCCCACTTATTAGACAGCCATTATGAATATGAGAGTTGTTAATATCATTACATGACTTGTTAATCGTATTACTAAAGCTGTAAAAATGCCACTTTTCAAATTTTCTGGAAAACCTGTTGTTAAATGCTATACCTAACTTGTTAAGAGTTACATAACTTATTAATGACATTACTAAATTTATAAAAATGTTACTTTTTGAATTTATTGAAAAATCTATTGTTAATTATTATATTGAACTACTTGCTAATAGCATTCCAAAACTTATTAACTGTGTTATTGAAATTGTAAAAATTTTCAAAAAAATAGTTGCCAGCTATTGGAGCTTTAGCTCTTGATTGTTGGCCAACCACCAGAGCTCCGGTGACTGCAACCACCTGAACTCTAGTGACCGTCGCCTTCACTGGAGCTTCAATGACCAGTTGGCCAATGAGGGTATTTGGTTTTTCAAAAATAATAAAAAAATAAAGGTCAATATAGTCATTTGAACAAATTTGTAAATCCCAAATTGGTCACTTATGTCTAAATTGAGATTTTGCTTATTTAAGTGGCCATTTTGGGATTTTCAAGTTTAAGTATTACTTTTGTATCATTTTCCCTTTATGCAAAGTAAAAACTATTTTACACTTTTGTTGTAATAATAGGATAATTATTATTTAGTAAATTTTTAATTTTAACCAACGGGAGTTGGTCCAAGTGGTAAGCGGCTTGGTACCGCTTAAGCGAGGTCTCGAGTTCGAGCCTTAGCGTATGCAGAAATCCCCGCTGAGAGACTCACGCACCACAGCCAGGTGCGCGATGCGGGTCGGATCCAAATGTAGTTGGAGCAAAGCTTCGGTAAACTGGGTGAGCAACCAAATTTTTTTTTAAAATTTTAGTATTTTATAATATCAGTAGAGATCTTTGTTCATATAAATGATTTATTTATTATTTAGTTATACACTTCTCAATAAAATAAAAAATATATTTTTTAGATTTTTCTTTATTTTAAAATTTTAGAAAAATATTATAAAATTTCACTAGAGAGATTTCTTCAAAAAAGTAAATGGATTTTTTTGTTAAAAATATTATACAATTGAAGCTTTGGATTTATTCTTTCAAACTAACTATATGATGTTCAAATCAATTTAAAATCAATTAGAAAATATGATATCCCAACTCATAAAAAATACTCTTATGAGACTATTTATAAACTTTAAATTTGGAAAGAGACATAGTTCATTTTATAAGTTTTAATTTGAGTTTTTTTTAATATTTAATATATTTTTTAATTTTGTTCTTAATTATTTATTTTCTCTTGTTTACTATTATGTCTCTTAACACATTTTTTCCCACATTGTCTTTCATCCTTTTTTCTTATTTATTATAAGAATATATTTGAAAAAATATATATTTTTAACTTATTTATTACTTTTAATTAATTTTAACTAATAATTTATTATTAAAAAATTAGTTATTTGAAACTTATAATAAGTAAAGTATGATATACTAAACCCAGAATCTCATAAATAAATTCAAGCCAAGCCCCATTTTTTGGGCCATATCGTATGTGGGGACATATTAAGCGCGATACTCACAGGAACTGTGCTACTCCTCCGGTCTTTATTATAAGACTCCATTTAACTTTTTATTTGGTCCTAATTATAAGACCCAAATCCATTTTATCTCTTATATTTATGCATTTTTTCCAAGATAATCCTTCTAATAATGATAGTTTTAGCCAATATACTTAATTAGCAAGGATATTTTAGGAATGACAACACTTATTTATTATAAATAATCAACTTAACTTACTTTCTTAATCTCCTCAAATAAATCAATTGGGTCTTATAATTAGAACCGGAGGAGTATCATTTTTTGGGCCATCCGGTTTTTCCCGTTACTCATTTTCGGCCCACGAGTCTGAAACCCTAATCTAGCTTTTATAAGGTCTCGGATTTGGCGGCCATTTGTTGGTTGTCGCCCAAGCTGTGCTCTCCCTTGCTCTTCCTGCGAGTTTCCTGCATTTTGAAGCACCAAGCACAACATGGCGGATAAGGCTGTGACAGTCCGAACCAGGAAATTTATGACAAATAGGCTTCTATCTCGCAAGCAGTTTGTGAGTTTGTCATTCATGGAAGCACATTGAATCTGTTGGGTTTTGCACCTAATTTTTTTCCATGTTATTTTTTGGTGCAGGTCATTGATGTACTTCATCCTGGGAGGCCAAACGTATCCAAGGTACTTTAGTTTCTAATGTCATTATTATGAATTGTTATGGGTAGAATCTACAAAACTTGTTTGTAGCACAGGCAATCGGAAGTCTACCTTTCAAGCATTTACAGTTTTGGTAATTACATGACCCCTCATGTTTTATTTTTTTGTGGGCTGCGGTATGAAGGCGGAGCTTAAGGAAAAGCTATCAAGGATGTACGATGTCAAAGACCCTAATGCGATTTTTGTCTTCAAGTTTAGAACTCACTTTGGAGGCGGAAAATCAACCGGATTTGGTTTAATTTATGATTCCGTTGAAAATGCAAAGAAGTATGAGCCCAAGTACAGGCTTATCAGGGTAAGTTGACTTGGTTTAATGGAAAAGATTGATTTGTTGGCACCATCACGCTTTTGATCATTTTCTTGATCCATAGTTCTCTACTGCCTTCGTTCTTTTGACCCTCGCTGTTGGGATTATTATTTCAGCCACTTAGTGGGTTAGTTGGGTTGGGTTGGGTTGGGTAGTGAGAGTTTGCTGTTTCTTCTAATCTGAATGGAATTATAATTCATTGGAAGATTTACTTATTTCCAAACTACCGACTTTGAATTCTTTATTTTCTGAGCTCAGAAAATCTTCTATTTCTCTATGGTCAAGGGATGCTAACTTGTGTGGGTCTGTATTTCTCCATCATTCTGGAGTTGCTAGGAATGTCGTTTGTAGCATTAGCGGTGTACAGCCAAGTAATGTAGTATTTTCTAGTCGTGTACGTTTATCATTTAAATGGTTTTACCTAGCTAGAATTGTTAATAGTTCTTTCTATTTAGTGTTAATACTCCACCGTCCTTAATACAAGACAGTGCACTACAAGTAGGTTTTATATTAAAGTAGGTTTTATATTAAAGACGAGAGGAGTACTTGGAATTCTTTTGGCGTTAGTTGCTGAATTTGTTAACTGTTCTGTTTTGTTACCGATTCTATTGTTATTTTTATGATTTTCTGTGTTCTACGTGCTTTGTTCAATTTCAATGCACAATCGAAACCTCTTTTTTTGTTTGTGTGTGGCAGAATGGACTCGCTACTAAGGTGGAGAAGTCCAGGAAGCAACTGAAAGAGCGGAAGAACCGTGCTAAGAAGATCCGTGGAGTAAAGAAGGTAAATTTACTTAAGGGCTTATGGTCACTTTGAATATATCTGTACTTTGATGTGTTTTAACTTCTGTCTTTTGTTGTACAGACCAAGGCTTCTGAGGCTGCAAAGAAGAAATGAGTCTTCAGAATGTTTGTATTGATTTTAGTTTTCCCGAGTTCAGTTAAAATTTTGCTTCTCTTTACATTTTGTTGAACAGTACAATACGATATTTTTCAGTTTCACTGATTAATTTGTTCATCTAGCATATTAAAGATCTTGATTACTGTTTGAGTCGGCTTAACCTTGTTTTCACTGATAGTGTTGATTCGTTACCTGGATGGTTGGCCTATATTATAGACCGTGAATGCTCATTTGAACTATGAATCAGCATTTATAATCACCTGATGAAATTCGTCGGCCAATTATGGTTTCTTAATTGTAGTACATCAATTCCACCAATTAAGCTTTATGGATGTCCTGCACTTACGCAACGTGGTTTACGAATATTGAATACGAATAAGTACCTTTAAATTGCGCGAATTATCAAATTAATCGAAATACTACTTTATTGTTTGTGTTAATGAATGATTAGGAGAAGTGGATAGTTCTCTTGTCGAAGTATAGGTTTGATATAACTCGTATTTTTCCAATTTGTTGAAGCAAGCAAGCAGGATTAGGGGAGAGGTAATTTTGTGCAAAGGGTTGCAATTTGGTTCACTTTAGGATTGGGATTTGGGATTAGTTTATGCTTGACCCCTGTGCTTAAACTTGGTGCAACAATAGTTGCTTCAATGACAGGCCAGACCCAATTTGCTAGTTGAACACATGCTTATCCGCCTTCACCATGGGTAACAATAACAACAGAAACCATAAAGGATTTCATGAGTCTAGCTCATATCGCAAGATTACAGTGTTCTGTGAGCAAAGGAAGGCATAGGATTCCAAAACCTCAAATGTAATAAACGGAAAAAGAAAACGGTGTACAGTTCTCATGATTTCTGAACTATGTAATGTTCCTTTTAAACTTCTGCATTTATACAGATTATTGTCATGCTATTAATTTATTCGTTATCTGACTCCTTTTACTGACATAATATAATGAGATTTATTTGCATATGATTTTAATATTAAAAAGCAATTTATGTATATAGTAACTCATTTTGAGGGAGTTATCTAACAAAAAGAAAAGTTTAACGAGACAAATTAAAATAATTAGAATAAAACATCAGCTAAAAACAGAACAAAGAGGAGCAAAATGCTAATCTGCCTTTCATGATCAGCAGAAGGGCGAGGATTGTTTTCTAAGAGAAGCTTCTATCATCATTTACCAGCAACTTATCTCCTTCGTAAAATTCAATCTGATTTTCCCCTTGATTTTGCTTATTGTACAACACAATGATACGCATCACCGATGATCGCAAACACACTAGACAATTTCAACTCTCAGTAGATGCAGCGTTCACCGCTTCATTTTGACGATTTAAACACTAAGGCCTGTACAGAATTCAATGGTGAACGGTAGCCATACGCTGAAGAGTCCCTCCAGAAAGTTGTCACTGTCACAACCAGAGATAATCAGCGATAGTGTTCCATTGCCTTTGATAAAAAAATTGCTACTTAAGATGTGATACATAACCTAAACTTCAATGAGCACATATATTAAGTTTCGACAATTAAGTAACTGACAAGTGGACGGGCTCTATTGAATGAACATAACTGTTATACTTTGAAGGAAGAAACGTCAGCAAGGAATTTTAACAATGCAAGTCATTTACCGGAAATGAAACCCATTAGAATAGTGTTAACAGAAGAAAAAAAGGAATGAACTCGGAATCATAAACGTATGCAAAGATTGGGGAACTGCAAGGACATAGAGAATAACCTATCCATAAAACCAGACCGACTGTTGCTGCCAAGAAGTATTCTTTCCTGATAGTATTGAACCTGCAATCACCAAACACCCTTAGTTTTCACCTAACCTTTGGTTTTAGGGAAATATGCAAATATAATTCATGGAACAAAAGCTAAGATCTGATACACCATCAGTAAATCATATCGTCAACTTTAAAAACAGACTAAACTTACAGTCTCTTGTTTTAAAGTTGATGTAGCAAATTTGTAATTAGGCCTCAGAGTTCAAGGGGAGTAAAAGGCAATATCCCCACTAATTTTATTCTACAAAAGATCCAGAATGAATGCAGACAAGAAAAATGAACAGGGATCAACTTACAAGTACAGGCATACAATATTCCCATATCCATAAAGAAAAGTAGCCCAAGAACAACCAATGAACCTATCATCAAAGTTGAACCAGAGAATAGTGAACTTTTACATGTAGAAGTAATAGTGGCAAGAACAACGAGAGCATGCGGAAAGAAAGGAATTACCACATGAAATCACGAATAAAGAGAGCACGTGGGATCAGAAGTCCATTTCCAATCATAGCAAGCAAGATTGTATAGGCTGATAAGCCTTTGATGTTCTCAGGATTCAGAAAATTTGTCCACTAGAAAAAGGAACATAGAAGATAAGGTCATAGTTAGACATTGAAGGTAAATATTAATTGTCCTTCAAGGAAAAAATTGGTATACACATTCAAATTACCATCTGCGAAATTGGCATCCACATGAAGAGAAGCGTAGCCGTCCATCCAGATAATGACCCAACAAATCTGACGCCTTGTTCAGGGAGCTTTCCACTTCTCGCCTGCAAATCATAGCAGTGATGCGTTTAAAAGGATGCTGAAATAGGAAGCCTGTTAAATTCAGTTCCACACAAGACCCAATGTACAAACAAGAATTCTGCCTTCGTATTTCTATGTTACAGACGGATGAGTGATAAATATACAAGGAAATTATATAAAACTGTGTTGCTACTAAAATGTCAAACAAGTTGTTGAAATAACTGCTCCTAAGTAGTTTGAGACAATATTTCACAGTAATATATCAAATATAAGTTGAGCTAAATTATGGAAGCTATAATCAAATCCTTTTAGCATGGTAGCATCCCTTCCCTCATTAACTTCAATGCGCCGGATCAAATTTACCGCTTCAAGTCCCTAGAGAATTGGTCATTTTAAACTGAGGACAGTGCAGTCTTGCACCACTTCAAGCTAATTCACTGGATTTTAACTTCAAGATATCACCTTCTTATAGCCTGACTAAAAAATCAAGGGGACAAGGAGATTACCATGATAACAGCCACAACAGCTATCACAAAGGCTGTAGTCCCCGGTAAGATACTGTTTGGCACATACGGGACAAATGTAGACCACATTATCTGCATCCAAATTTAAATGTTTGCCAACATAAGATAAATAGTAAGAGATATCATGGAATCAAGACATTTGTCGGTCTATATTCCAGAAATGGAAAAACACAGAAGGTATGCACATGCAACTTAGTGAATGTAAATGAGTGCAGGGGGCTTTGTCCTTCGTGTGAGGACACAAATAGTAAGAATTTTTAATTTTAATTATTAATGGGGGGGGGGGAAATGGAGAATTACCTGGGGAAGCACTGATAAACCACCAACAGTGATGAAGTCTTCCCAGAAGCTCCAGATTGCAGCACTCAGTAGACCAAGGTAATTCAGAAAATTCAGAAAAAGGCCAGATCCCACAACAACTGAGGTGGCCACAAAGTGAGGTAGAGGCATGGCTCCTGCTAACGCCAGCTGAACAAGGACTACAAATGTTGAAACCACACCCAGCGTCTGCACCACCATTGCTTCCTTTTCTTTCTTCTTGGCAAAGTATGATAGTAGTGACAAATTTCCAAGCAAAGAAGTAAGCATTCCCTGCATTGATGTCCATGCCAATTTTAGCCTTAGGTTCTAAAAGGCATGCCCCGTTAAGTTTTGAGAACATAAAGCACAGGGATAAAGAATTACTGATATATAAAATTTTGAAATTGAACATTCTGAAGAACCATTTAAACTCTAAAGCTTAAGCCATAAAGACGTAAAATTGGTTTTATTACTACTTTTAACAAACTTCTTCTGAAGCATAGTCTTGGAAACATGTTACAAATCATTGTTCATCCCAGTGCAAGATTATAGAATAAACTACTCTTATTTAAACTTTTAAAAGGGTTTGCAGGGTGGGGAGGGAGAATAGAAAGCTTTTGATTTAAAATTTGGCGCTCTGCCTTACCAGCCATGAGACAGCAAAGAGAGGAGTTTTATTTCCTGCCAGAAGATTCTGAGCATTAAGGATAATCTGGGGTAGCTGCAGTAATAAAAATGGAATATTGGCTGCTCCAGCGAGCTTGGATGTCAGTGAATTCCACTCCTCGTACCTTTTATTCCTCTCAGTGTACACTGATCCCTTCAAATATTTCCCAAGTAAATCGCAAAGTCAAAAGTAAAAACAACAAATGGAAACCAAGTTTTCTTGGACAAACCAAATAAACTCGCATAAGAAGATGAGTCCACCAGACCCTGAAAGCAACGTTCAATTCTTTATGTACTTGTTCGAAAGTAACAAAGTAACACTGATTTCATGAACCTTCGAACAATTTTTATCTTAAGCAATGATTTGATCCCTGGGGAGTGCTGTACCCAAAAACTACCTGAAAAGCTGAGGTTCATAATAGCCTCACAATAGAATGGAATACATCCAATGCAGGATTCAAGATACAATGAGTCACAACAAGCTCGTAAGAAAGTAGCCAGCTCAATCAATGTTGTAAAGTTTTCTCCGGAAAAATAAGACAAATTGCTCATACTTGTATACCAAGAAAGCGGTCCAAGAAAAGGGATAAAGATTCAGACAAATCATCAATAATTTCTTAGCCACGTTAAATAAAACCCAGAATATGAAAGACTCCAAATTAATACATCCCAATACAATGGAGGTTCTCAAACGGGGACAGAAAAAAATTGCTAAGAATAAATTAGTACCTGATGGGGATGAGGGACATCAGAATGAAGAGCATTAAGGGAAAAAGCGAGTCGAGGGCGTGAAAGGGAAACAAAGGGTCTGTAGTGGGTAAAGCGCGAAGCAGAAACAGAAGAACTGAGAAAAGGAATGGGTTTTTGATATGGGGATGCAAAGGAGGAACGCAGGAAAGGAATATTTGAACTGGAATGGTGAAGACGAAGCGGAGGAGGATTTTGGGTAGCAGAAAAGGAACAGGCCATGAATATTGAATAGAGCTTCCTTCTAAAATTGAACGGTGCAAACGTGAGGAGAAATGAGAGCAAGAACTATGCACTGAGGAAGACGACGACCTGGCTTCTCAAATTAGACGGTGGCATGCCGCTATATAAGATATTTTACCGATCTCTGCTGCGATGAGAGCGTCGTTTTTCTAGAAGCAAAAATATGACGAGGGAGTGTTTAGTAGACCAAGTGAGGTAAACATGAAAAAAGATTTGTTTTGACTTGTGAAAATATGCTTTTATCAAAAAACATGTTTTTGAACAAACACCTCCTAAATACTATCTGGTTATAAGATTCTATTTGACTTTTATTTTAATTCTAAATATAAGACCCAAATCCACTTTGTCTCTCATATTTATACATTTTTTTCCAAAGTAGCCCTTCTAACAATGATAGTTCCAGTCAATATACTTGATTAGCAAGGAGATTTTAGGAAAAATAACACCTATTTAGGACAAATAACTAACTCAACTTACTTCTTTAATCTTCTCAAATTAGTCAACTAGCTCTTATAATTAGGACCGGAGGTAGTACTATTTTGGTCATAAATATAAGATTTATTTTGTAATGTAATTTACTTGATAAATGAATTACTACCTCCAATCCTAATTACAAAAGCCAGTTAACTAATTTGAGAAGATTAAGAAAGTAATTTAAGTTAGTTATTTGTCCTAAATAAGTGTTGTCTTTTCTAAAATATTCTTGCTAATCAAGTGTATTGGTTAGAACTACTCCTCCGGTCTTAAATGTAAGACCCTTATACACACTAGTATAAGAGTCTTATATTTAGGACCGGAGGAGTATTATTGTTAGAAGGACTACTTTAGAAAAAAAAATACAAATATGAGGGATAAAGTGGATTTGGGTCTCATATTTAGGACCAAAATAAAAGTCAAATAATATCTTATATTAAAGAACGGAGGTAGTATTACTCATGACTTTGGATAATTGATAATAAAAATTATATATCTATAATATTAGGGAAAATCCCAAAAAAAAATGATTGTTGAATTTTAAAATTCCAAATCAAGAATTACTACAAAAATGTGTTGTCATTTGCTTTTCGAACGTAGTCATTTTCTTTATGAGTATAGTAACTAATACTGATTTGAAATTTTAAAATTCAACTGTAATTTTGTTGGGATTTTCCCATAATATTAATTAACAGGGGTATGACTGTGTGAGGACTGATTCATGCTTTGCAGTTTACTTTATTTTTTAATTTTTGACAATATTACTATTTATATGTTGAAAGTGACATTATATTTGTACTGTTTGTAAAGCCACATTCTAGTTTTCATCCATGTGTATATGAAGTGGACCAAAATGATTCGAAAAGGAGACAATAATATTGGTCTAAATTATAAAATAAAAATATTGCAAACAAAAGATCGAAATTCGCTTCTTCCATGCCAAGTGTAACCTCTGGCAATTTGGTTAAATGCGTATTTGCACTAACCAAATTGCCTGAAGTCATTTTGGCAAAGATCGAAATTTTCCACTGTGCTCTCTTAGAATAATTTAACCTTTTCGATTTAAGATGTTTAAATTTGATATTTTATTTAATTTCTTGCTAAAATCTAAAAAATTATTTTTTTCATGTTCTTCATTTCGCAAATAAAATTTTAAAACGAAATATTAAATTTAAATAACAATTAAATTGTTGAAATTGCTTCATTGTGAACGGGCGTTGTAGGTGAAATAAAATGAATGTTCGAAAAAATTCTAATAAATAGCTGAAAAGAAAATTGTGAAAAATGACCAAATAAGCAAATTATTTAGGAACAAGGACCCACCTGGCAGAATACGGTAGAAGAAAAGATGCAGATTCATGAAATAGAAATTGTAGATCGTAGAAAGAAGAATTACAAATTATGGATCTGGGCCTTGCCCCCCAATATAATTTAGCGATTAATCAGGTGCTTTTGCACAATTTTGCGATAATAAATCCGTGACAGAGAGCGGGGATCTGCCGAATTTAGATGTCCCATGCTTTGACTTTTGAAGACTCCCAAGCAACCCCACATGATTCTTCAATCATAGATCTACTTAACATCATCAACAAAAATTAGAATAAATATATATTCGTCCAGGGAAAAAAATAATAGTAGTACTCTTTTGATCCTATTAATGGGATAGAAAGAAAAGACTTTTTTTTTTTATTTACAGAACACTGAAAGAAATTTTTTATATAGCTGACAATTTTACCCTTCATTTATTATTATATTAAATTTTTTACACGAAGCATAATATATGAATAGATAAAGTTGAAAACTTGTTGAATTTTAAATAAGAGTCAATAAAGTTTAAGATTTTTCTTACTCTGTTTGAAACGTGTTGGAAGTGATTTATAAATAAAATCAAAGGAGTAGTAATCTATAACCTCAGGTAATTTTTCATTTATTTAGAACTAATTTAGGTGTTGATTTCTAAAGTAACTCTTACTATAAAAATCAAGCGTTATATTTTACGGTGCGGGCAAAGGCCACTCCAGATACTTCCATAACTATTTGAATGATATCTTGGTGGTTGAGCGATAAGCCTGTGGGCTCTTTTCAACATTTGCATTCTGATCCTACTGACTAGGGTTTCGCTTCATGTATTGGCCCAAGGGAAGTCATCTTATAAATATATTTTTTTAATTTTAGGAAAATGAAAAGTAGATTTCATTCGTCCGAACACGTGGTAATAAAGGATAGGGTGGGTCCCTTTTCTATATGATGGGAGTTTGTCATCATTTTTGAAATAAATCTCATTGGAGGGAGCCGAGACCCATATCAAGATTTCAGATCATGTAGGGCTTTCGTCTTTCAATTATTATAATTGCCAGCTTACTCTTGCAACTCAATTCGCTCCAACTCATATAATTCAATAGTGAGGTTATGAGTGTTCAGTCGAAAACATCTTTGCATATAGGTTTATGTAACTTGTAGCTGTCCAAAAAAAAAAGTTACTAGGACATGAATTTCTTACCCCAAAAAAAATATCCAGTCCTAAATATAAAATTCTTATACACACTAATATAAAGATCTTATATTTAGAACCAGAGGAGTAATAATTTCCTGCATGGCAGGCAATTCATTTCAACTTTGACTTCTATTCCTAAGAATATAATAATAAATTTACATGACAGAGTGCATCTATATCTTAGCAAATAGATTACTTATATTACTGAATTAAAGTGATGCTCGGGGGAAAGCTTTATTTGGGATCACAATTTAAAGCACTTATAAGCATATTTCACATAAGTCAAAACAAAATTCTTTCCAAAATATATACCTCATGTTGAAAAACTATTTATAAATTACTCCAAACGAACTCTAAAGAAACGTTGTTTGGCAATAGAACTTGACCCATTACCCAAAATGCAAGCATTACAAGCGATCCACGCAAAATATCCCAATATTATTGAATGGTGATGCCCAAAAACCACAGCAATATTGATCGACATATCCCAAACTATAAGTGGACAAAATGACTTTCGGTGCATATGAAATATAAGTGGTGGTAGAGGGAATGTGCTGTGCTGTGCGTGCGTGTGTGAGAGAGAAAGATGAGTCCAGAACTACAACAATGGATGGAGAAAAGAAAACTGACAGTATGAGAAAAAAGGATCATCCATAAGCCAAGGATGCATGAGCCAAAGAGGATCATTTTCCCAGGAAAATAAAAGAAATACTAGAGTTAGTCACAAAACAGCCCATCGGATAGTTAAACAGCCTCAACTATGATCAGCACAACTTACTATTTAAAACAATCCTAAACCTCACAGCAATTAAAAGTAGCCAGTACTTCTATCTGAAAATTATTACAATTTTTTCTGACGAATAACACCAAATAAGAACTCCAACAAATTGAGCCCGCTCCCTATATCAAAGTTCACGAGAAACTGAGAAAAATCCGTGTCTGACAACACTGGATGACTAGCAACTTCAGCATTGCAATAAATCTAGACTGCCACATCTAGATGAACAACAAGTAGCAATGGCCTCTTAAATGGCTATGGCTTCTACAGGAATGGAGGTAATATTACCCACCGACGAGGATACCTGGGTCTTCCTTCCTTTCCATCAAATAGCTGCAGGTAACACCAAATTGACATGTAAAATACGCAAAGACTAAACAGTTAATTGGGGGGGGGGGGGAATGTCTTTTTTGTTCATCCGATGGGATATGACAAAGCTGTATCCCATTCGTTGCTTTGATCTATAAGCACTGTCGAAAATGCCCAAAAGAAAAAATAAATAAATTAAATTCCCTTAGCATGCTCAACAAGTAAACATGTGATCCTTGCCCCCTTAGTAAAATGAAAAGTGTTTTCTTCCCCCCCCCCCCCCGGGGCAATATCTGTTATGCCTTCCTAATCATTCATCAACCATAATCATTTTCTAAAACTTTTTCTTTTAAAATACAGATATTAAATTATTTTTCATCTCTAAAACTGCTTTAGAATATGATACTCAATTATGTTGAGCTATAGACATACATGTGCAGACTGCAGAACATGGAGACAGATACATGAACACGCAAAAGCATGAGGAGACCAGTTATTACTTCCTTCATATTTATCATGCCCTGAACACCAAGTGTCCATGTTTCATAGCAAGCAAGTGTATTCAGGTGAAACAAGTATATTTTGGTCTCACAGTTTATCACAACAATGAGCAAGGGAGACTGACCTTCTTCAAACGCCTGTGCTTCGCAAGAGCCCAGTTGGTCATGATGCCGGCAGCAACCACAAGAAAAACATAACCTGCAACAGTCTGTGTTGCGATGTTGAAGCCCAGCCACTGGTAGATCTCTGTTGTATAATTTGCGCATGTAACAATATTGAAGAGAAAGCCGTGTGGGATTTGATATCCACCATCCCCTTCAGGCCTACGGAGATTCCTCAGCAAAATATGGCAATAGAAATTTGCAATTTGACAGAGGATCCCAAAACCAAACCCTATCTTCATTTGGAGATCACTTACAGGGGTGTAGAGTGGATGGTTCACATAATAAGCAATATAACAGCCAAATGTCCAATAATAAGCACAGTTACGAAACACATTTGAAAGGGGCGATGTTGCATGGCTGAAGCGATGGACAAAAAATGTTTCCATAATACGTTTAAAGTAATGGAAACACCAATAGTACATGGCGTATGTCTGCGCAGGTTGGATGACTCTTTCCCCTTTATAGCCAAAATACTCATAAACAGGGAAGTAGTAGAAGATTGGGTAGAGGACCAAAGGACCTAAATACTCCCAGAAGAAAAGTGTGCGATAGGAAACTTGAGGGCCTAAGTCCTTGAAAACTACAGTTAAGTTGTTTGAATTTCCATCTGTATAGTCTTTAAGACTTTTCTTGTAACTAAGGACAACAGGCCTTCCCTTAGATCCTGGTTGGACTGGGAGGGTGAGGCGCTGCCTTGATGGGTAGTACTTCTTGGCTGTAAATATGAAACATACAAATCATGTTAATGATCCAATGCTCTTAGACCTAGACACTGATACTTCAAAGATAAACATCCCTTTTCCTCCCAAAAGAGATGTCAAAAATGGAATAGCAAAGGCCACAAAATATATTGATAGCAGCAGCAGTGAAACACAATGAATAAGCTTCAAGTTCTGAAGTTGACACTTGATCGTCCATAATTAAAGACGGACTAATTCAAGATCTAGAAATAGCCTTGTAGATCTCGTACATGATATCAAAACCTCTTGATCGTGTATATAAGGAAAGAGGACTTTAATAAACTTTCTCCCACACGACCAAGGCAACTTCAAAAATTGTATCTGCTTGAGCAATAATTTAAACTCAACATGCTTTTACCATCATTCAGATTTATATTTCAGGAGAAGAAATATTTCAACTTAAATTTCAAAGGTAATTTTAGAAAGAACAGTGAAATAGCAGTAGAATTATCAGGCGTGCAGCACATGAAGTGAAGAAGCTGATCATCACACAGTATGCACTGAATAACTTATAAATTAAACGGTCTATCAGAGACATTTAAGCTATATGGCCATCAGGAAGCTGAAACTATTCACAGAAAAAGCTAAGAACAATTTAGGTAACGCCTCAAGCCTTAAAGGCTTAAACTTTTCAGATAACAACAAAATATGAAATGAACAGTTAAATCCAATTTTATGTGCAGTATGATCAAAGAAAAAGTGCATGCTCCACTTACTTCGCTTATGAATTGCTTCCTGGAGATCCGCTACAGTCGCCTAACATAAAGCAAAAATGAGAAAAATCGTGAATGGCTACCATGGAAAGTTGTCCACATTTAAAGTTCGACAGAAAAGGAAGTACTAAGGATTGCAGAAATGAATTTAACTAAGAAACTGCAACACCATAACATGCAAGAGCGGTAAATTTGAGAGCAAGGCGGCGTACCGAATCACTGAGATCAACGCCTCCTTTAAGGATTTCTCTTCCACTCCGCGAAACCACTGAGACCTTCATCCTCAAAGAAACAGCCCCCTTCCCGAAGCGCCTTCAGCAACAAACTCAGTCAATCTGCGAACCGTTCAATGCAAGATCCCCGAAAAGCAGCAGCTGGAAATAAAGATTATAAAAATGAAGATTCACAAGCCCAATGAACGAACCAGCGGGAATACAAGCTACGCCGTGAATAAATCTTAACGAAATAGGCAACACTTGGAAGCACGGGAAGTTCCAAAAAACTAAAACCGGAAGCAATATTGAATCCAGAAACCCCAAATGCGCAGGGAGCAAGAAACAAACAGAAAAAATAGATTTTGAGGATAACAGACCAGATTTGATTGTGAAGAAGATATGAATTATTGAAGAAACTTGGGATTAAAACCCAACCATTGAAGAAATGAGTCAAAGAGGAAAGGATTAAAGGGAAACGTTGGATTACCTGAATTGGAAGGAGAGGAGAGAAAGAGATACAGAAGAAGAAATGAAGAATGGACGGGAGGTATGAATTGGATATATGGTAGTGCGAGGTGGTGGTTTCGGGGTTCCTATTAAATGCGTACCGTTGGGGTAGGAGAGCTAACTGGCCGGACTGATGAACAAGACCATACCAATTTACCATACTTCAAGGTACGTTTCCCTCCAGCCCTTCACGCTACCTGCTTTGGCCAATGTCAATTCCAAGTTCCAATTGGGGTTTTTTCCACTTCTTGATCCATGTGATCAACTATGTCACTATTTTCTCCTCTCAAGCGTTAGTTAAAATTTCTAATAGATCAATTCTACGAATGGTAACTATTTATAGAAATTTTAAAACTTTTAAAAGAATAAAATTAATTTGGGCAACTTTAAAAAATATTACTCCTCCTCCTTAATATAAGACCCATTTAACTAATTTGATTAGATTAAAGAAGTTAGGTAAGTTAGTTAATTATAAGAAAAGTGACACATTTTTCTTAAAACACCATAATCATCTTTTTTAATACCCTCTCTCTCTTTTATTTGATTATGATTGAGGGAGTATCTATAGGGGTAATTTAAAGAAAATTGATAAATATGAGAAATGGGTTTTATATTTAGGACCAAACTAACTCAAAATTGGGTCTTATATTAAGGACCGGAAGAGTATTAATTATTGATATTGATTTCTTTTAGAACTTACAGTAGCTCAATCTTCATAGTAGTAGTGTAAGGATGCTTTGAATTTGATCACAAATCACCCAACATCTGTTACTGTCAGTTTAACTTGGTCCAATCCAAATTTGTGGGAAGTGGAGATACTCCATTTGGCAGAGCTAAATGCAAGGCAACTCCTTATATTTTCTCATGCGTTAGATATAAACTCCATTTGAAAAATATTGATTTTTTTGACCTGAAAAACATTGATTTGATCCTTTTGTAAGGTCCAATTCCCTCTTATTCCGTGTATTAATGTTTTTTCCCTCTATAATACTACTCTTTATATAAGAGTTAGATATTTAAGTTGTGTATATTAAGAAAATTAGTTAAATTGATTATTTGTAATAAATGTGTATTCATTGGTTTAAAAAAAAAAAAAAACAAATGTGTGTTCATTTTCATAAACAATCATAATTATGTACAGTAAAACTATGGGAACCTTTTTAATGAGTATAATTAATAAGGATTCAGGAATTTTTTTTTATAAAAATTGTCATGAATTCTCTACATATTAAATGCAAATAACCAGCTTAATAATTTTTTAAAATTATACAAATTAATTAAAAGGACCTTATATTTAGTATTTGAAAGATTTTTTTTTCCCCACTCCCACCTATCCTTTTTTTGATACACACTCCCACCTATCCTTTCCTGACATTATCATTGATATGAACTACTTTTCTTTTAAGAAGCATGAATTCATTATTTTTACTATGTATTTAGGAGCTCAGTGGAATCTTAAGCATCATTTATCTTCATTTATCGTATGTGCTCACACTCTTTTGGTTCCCGTTCAAATTCTGATCTAACTACCTTTTGTAGACAAACAAAAAAAGAAAATCATTATATACATGTAAAAAATTTATAAAAACTTCAAAATATATCCTTATCAAAAAGTCAACACATTAATTATGATGCATTAGTTACATATAAATTTTAATTATGTAAGTGGAAAAGTATTATACAAATATACTCCTGTCCTACCTATAAGTTACTTACAATATGTTTCACAAAGATTAAGAAAACTTAAATTTCATTAACTTTCATTTAAAATTTAATAAATTTTTAATTTTATCCCCAATTAATATATATTATATCCTATAAAAATAAAATCAACACAATAACAAATAAAAAAATAAAATTATATATTCATATAAAAAATTTCTCTTTTATTTTATAAATAAGACAAAAAATTATTTTTTTTCTTCCTGTCCTAAATAGAACTAGAGGAGTACATAGCGGTGGATGTCTAAAAACATTTCCTCGCCATCCATGTAACGGGGCGGAATGAACAATGAAGAGATGACGCCATTTCCTGTGCATTAAAAAATAGATAGAAGTGGGGTTCACAATATTTTAATGGTAAAATGAACCTCTGTGTATAAATATGTCACTCAAATGACTTTATAAGAACGCGTAACTAGAAACCACCCTCTCCCCCCCCCCCCTTCCCATTATTTAATATTCTTTACAACCCCTTTTTAATAACTGTTTTCACTCATTCATTCATTATTTGTTTGGTTGAAGGGTAGCTTAGTCATCCGTGTCCATTTATTCCCACAGTGATTATTTTTATTTTAGTTATTATTTTGTTCATTTTCCTCAACACACTAACCATAAGATCACGTGAATTAAACTATCGAAAATCTCTTTTGTTATTATTTTTTTAAATTTGACTCTCTTTTTTCACCAGCAAATTTGACTCCTTTTATTCTTATGAAGACAGGACCCAACATGAAACTTTTTTTTTTATTACCTAGGGTATCCTTCCACTAAAATTGTAAGAGATTAATCTCTCGGGTTAATGTCAGACGCTATAACAGAGACTTCTTCTAACAGTATTTTTTTTCCATACACACCGCTCCAAGAATCAGACCCAGGATGTGACATTTAAGCTGTTCAAATTCCTTCTACTCAGACTAGCACTTGTTGGTAGACCTAACATGAAATTTTTTTTTTTTGTTGTCCACCCAGTTCACCGGAGCTTTACTCTGACTACATCTAGATTCGACCCGCGTCGCGCACCTGGCTGTGGTGGGTGAGTCTCCCAACAGGAATTTCTGCATACGCTGAGGCTCGAACTCGAGACTTCGCTTAAGCGGTACCAAGCCGCTTACCACTTGGACCAACTCCTGTTGGTACCTAACATGAAACTAGTTCTCAAGCTGCTTCTTCATTTGGGATTGGGCTAGCATTTTACAAGCTTCAATCCGATAACAATGATAGTGTCTATTCCCCGGCCCAAAAACTAACCCCTCTTGTGTTGCTTAAGGGTTGGGCCAAGAGGACGTGAGCCCAATGTCAATTTTGACGACCCAAATTAGTAATCCCCAGCAGCTTAGATTGCGTCCATATCCAAATTCATTAGTATATTTATTCGTTACTATAGTATTGACTTAAATTATTTAGTGAAGTGATATTTTTCAGATATTCAAACATTTCTCTTTTATGGTAAGGGCTATTGTTTAGATATTTTAAAGAGACCGTGAGTTCATGATGGGTTTAAAATATAAAATGAACGTACTATTCCTTTTACACAAATATATATATATATATATATAAGTACATAACCTGTGATAATTTTTTTTTTATTATTTAGAGTGTGGAGACATATAAATGATGTGACAATGGTATTGGGACGAAGTGGGATCTTACGTTCTGCGGTAAAATTAGGTTTGGTGTAGGAGTGACTATGCGTTCGTGGACTCAATTTCTATAATTATTAGGTGTGCGAGTTGAATTAATTACCATTGTTGACTTGCTTTGTTTCTTACATTATTTGATGAGTAACGAAAATGATAGAAGATATTGTTCATATAACTTGTCCAACTCCTCACCACATATTTCATTTCAAGCTTTATCCATACCCAATTAATCTAATTGACCGCGATTAATCAATATCTAACACACACACGTCTTATCTTATTTATAAAGCACTTTCATCAACATGTTTCATTAGAACTAATAAACATCTTAAACCTTGTCAATGTGTTGTCTTTAAATTTCATAGTTTTTTTATTTTATTTTATCCTTTCACACGAGAGAGAGAGAGAGAGAGAGAGAGAGAGAGAGGCGTGGATGGATAGGAGCTGCCGCGTAGGGTTGAAGTTGAAGGTTAATTCAATTTGCTCACAGCTTTGCTCATTCATCTTCCCTACGCATTCCGCCATTAGGCCCGTCGTTTTCCATATTACTCTTCCGGTCCTTATTATAAGACCCAATTTGAATTTTTATTTGGTCCTAATTATAAGACCCAATCCATTTTGTCTCTTATATTTATGTATTTTTTTCCAAGATAATCCTTCTAATAATGATAGTTTTAGCCAATATACTTAATTAGCAAGGATATTTTAGGAATGACAACACTTATTTATTATAAATAACCAACTTAACTTACTTCCTTAATTTCCTCAAATAAGTCAATTGGCTCTTATAATTAGGACCAGAGGAGTACCATAATAATAATAATAATAATGCCACGTTTTACACACGTTCGTTTTCTTCCAATTTTTGGCTCCTCAGGGAATTGAACAAATCTGAAGTCAACTTCTTAATTAAGCCACCGCATCCTTTCGTATTTTTCTCTTCAACTTTCAATTTATAGTAATTTATTATCTCTACATCTACATGTGTGTGTGTGTGTGTGTGTGTTTCCCTCCATGCAAGTTTGAGACTCTTCTATAATTAGACCACTTCCCAATCTCCGACTTTGTCCATTATATTTTTCCTTCTTAATTCTTTCTCAACCCAAATATTCTTCAATTCCCAGCCAATCATTTCATTACAATTATGGATAATCCTTAACGTATCCAATATATATATATATATGTATAGCAATATGTATAAATTAAATATTTAGCAAGACCAAAATGTTTAAGTTTATCCATGCATGACATTCATGGAATCTCATATTCTAATAAGATCTAGTCAGCGGAAAAGCCAAAAGAAAATAAACAATTGGATAACGAAGCAGTATTCATTGAGAGTCTTATCCCGTTAACGATGGCGGCAGCTTCATTCGTTTAAAACTCCTTTTCATGACAGCAACTTATGATATTGACTAATGAACAACAAAACAAAACGCAAACTTTTGGCACGCGCCGGACGAAAAGTATTTATTGGGAGGCTTCGAAACTTCAACTAAACACGTCATATATGCTTTGACAATCCAACGTTTGACGATTTAATCATGATAGAAAGAAAGCCAATGATAGGCCAAAACACACTACTCGTCAATACAAATTGTGTACCTATGGAGGGGAAAAAAAAACAACCACACAATTTAGGGGACACAAACATTTTCGTGTAATAAAACTTGTTTGACCCTTCATGGGAGACGAACTTTTTCTTTTTTCTTTTCTTTCTAAATATGATCACATAATAGAGTTCGATTCCAGTATTGTCAGGTCCAATTGAAATTGGGCAGCTCACCCAAAACTCTTTTTTTCAGATATCGTGCTTATGTGATCAAAACCCCTTTTAATAGGATTGTTGCATTGATATAATATTTTATTACGATGCATATAAAATGATATAATACTATCTCTGGTCCTAACTATAAGAGCTAGTTAACTAATTTGAGTAAATTAAGTTAGTTATTTGTAACAGAGATACGTGTCGTCATTCCTAACATATCTTTGATAATCAAGTGTATTAACTAAAACTATTATTATTAGAAAGACTACTTTAATTTGAAAAAAATGCATAAATATGAAAAAAAAAAGTAGATTGAGGTCTCATATTTATGATCAAAATAAAAATAAGACGAGGTTTTATATTAAGGATTGAAGGTAGTATTTTACATGAGCATCCACTTTCATTCATGATTTTTTTCCTATGGGGAAGCAGCCCCCTTGGATACGCGCCAACGATATCTCGACTCGACTTATATATAAGATACAACTGATATTTCTAAAGCTATCGACGACTAGTCAACTTTGTTTAATAGTGAAGACGTACGCGATCAAATGTGGAAGACTATTCATTCATTAATCCAAGTTTGAATCCTCATTTGTCATAATATATATACCATGACACGACGACCATGAGCCTCCATTTTGTTGCTTTCTTTCTTTCTTCTCCTTTTTTGAAAAATATTATTATTGCTTATTACATAAAAATTAAGATTTTATATTCGAGGTTTTTTTTTTCTTTGCCTTGCTGTTTAATTAAGAGGTAGCAAAGTCATGGATGCCTCAATATTCTACATAATGTTTGAACCTTGCTTCATAGAATGATCACAAATTTCAAACTCGATCGGACGTGTAGTATCAAACTAGAATCAGGTCAAATCATCCTATCAAACTACCTATTTTAATTACCGACATTATGTTATTTCTCAAGCAGTATCCTACCAAACTACCCATTTTAATTACGGATATTATGTTATTTGTCAAGCATAATGTCATAATTAGTACTCCTCCGGTCCTAAATACAAGATCATTATACTCAGACCCTTATACTAGTGAGTAGAATGATCTTATATTTAGGATCAGACGAGTAATTTTTTTTATTTTTTCCCCTCTAATATGCAAGTGCGTCAATATAATAATCTACTATGTGTATGCTTAGATTTGGAAAATTATGATCGAATATTAACCTTCTCGGCTCAGAGCTGGTAGTCTTGTATTCTCCAACAATTAAAGGCCAACTTAATGCGCTTCTCCTTTTTCTTATTTCTATCCAAAGCAATATAATGGCCAGTTTTATCCTTTCAGTCAGATCTGTCGTTCTGGATTATTGTGTTCATCACGTATATCTCTTCCCAATTGTATTGTACATATAGAATTAAAATTACTTCAATTTTGATTAGTAGGGTTAATTAAGGCTAACTCAAATAGAATAAGAGTAATACGATGGGATATGAGTAAATATATCTAGAAATCAGCCTAATATAAGTTACTTTGTTGTTGTCTTCTTAAAATTGTTCGCTAACGTATTAGAATATATCTATATATATGTATATATGACTTTTATAATTAAGCTCGTTATAGCATGATATTGCTTTTTAAAAAAAAGAAATAATTAAAAAAATAACTGTTGAATTTTAAAATAAGAAAAATGTGATTTTTACATGTAAAAATCCGCACAAGAATAGTCAATACCTTTACAAGAAAATTCAGGATCACCTATTTACCATTTTAAAATTCAACATGTATTTTATGACCTCTTTTTTTTTTTAAAAAAAAAAAACTTCGAGTGTTTGATTGCAAAATATGCTTTTGATGCAAAAAGGTTAGGCAATTCCCTTAACCAATTATGCCATAAAAAGTGCTCCTTGAAACCCCCTGTTTATCACTAGCTACCTTTTTTGGCCTATATGAAATTGACATTATTAAAAATAATTAAATGCTTGATGTGTCATCATATGTATTGTACGCTAGTAATTAAGAAAAAGAATTTGTTTTACAACCTACAGGGCTTTTACACTGATTATTGCAGACAAGTAGAAAGTGTGATCAATGACATATTTATAACTAAAATGTAAGATTGTTGACTGTCTATATCAGTTGATCTTACGTAGAATTCAAAATAACAATGGATGTGAATAATTATTTAAAGTATTTAATTTTTTTAAAAACAATTTCTGCACCGATTAGCACAACAATATAATTAGTTGTTAATTTCATTAGCATGATTGTTTCCGTCTAATATATGCAAGTTTGTGTCATGAATAGAGTTAGATTTGGGAAATTATGAAGGCCAAACTAAAGCAATAAGCGCAACTATGCGTGCGCAGGTTGAAGTTAATTATTACTGGAAGGTGGAAATAAATGAAAACAGATACCACACTTTGTTTCTATATTTAAGTCATTTCTTACACATTCTCACATATTAAGAAATACATTAAATTGATAAAATTTTTCACACTTGCCTCTATTTAAAAAAGATATTAAAAATATGTTGCATATTTTCTCTCACGTATTTTTTTTTTACTATATTCAATACGTAAGATTAAAAAAAAAAGTTAATAATTACAATACAAATGGCTTATATTTATAAATAAATTTTTTCTTTATAAGTGACTTACAGTATATATAAAGTCGTAGAGTGTGTATGTATAGCCAGCTACTTAGCTTGTAGCCTCTCAAGGGTAGCAAATGACGTTAAACAAAATTGAATAGCGTGATTAATGAAAGCAATTGAAAATAATTAAGTGGGGGTTGCAAGTGGGAAGAAAAATGAGCAAGGGCAGGTGGCTTATAATAATAACAATAATAGAAACGACCATGCATGAGTCCGTATATATATGTTTCTAGAGGAATCACACCATCTCAGCTCTTTCCCTTCTCATCAGAAAGAGCACAGCCTAGGAAAGTCAGCAACTTTGAAAATTAAAACCCAGCCACCTCAGCTATCGAGGCTCTCCTCTAGCTATATATATACAAGAGATTGTTGTTGTACGTGAAGTATTATATTGGTAAGGAGAGATAGAAGATAAGAGAGACAGAGAGAGAGAGAGAGAGAGATCATCCGCATATCATCATCAAAGAAGAAGAAGTGAGAATCAATAACAATGGCGACTTCTTGGAAGGTTAAAGGGAGAGCGAGAGTGTCGAATGTCAGCGACCTGTTCGGAAAACCTCTTGCCATTGAGCTCCTCAGTAGCCTGCTTGATCCAAGTACTTCATTATATTTTTGTTTGTACTATATATATATATTACTCCGGTTCTAAATATAAGACCTATTTTATAGTGTAATTTACACTATAAAATAGATCTTATATTCAGAACCGGAGGAGTATCTTGTTAGTTTCCGATGCAACACATACACGTACACACTGCTCATGACTGAATAATGCAATGAAGGGGCGAACGGGGAGAAGAAGACCATAAAGGGGGAAGCAGGCAAGACCGGGAAGACGGAGGACGATGTTTTGGTGTACGAGGGGACGTTCGAGGTGCCCTCAGATTTCGGGGAGGTGGGTGCTGTTCTGCTGCGCAACGGCCACCACAAGGAGATGTTCCTCCACGACATTCTTCTCCACGGCCTCCCTCATGGCCCCCTCCTCTTCACCTGCGACTCCTGGCTTCAGCCTGATCTCCCCAGACTCTTCTTCTCCAACAAGGTTCCTTTCTAATTACCCTTTCCATCTAATCTCATCCCTTGTTGCGCACATACAATAATTATGATTACTTTTCATTAGCTGAGCCTTTCTCTTCATTTAAAACTACCAGTTTTTAATATAAGAGCTAGTTAACTAATTTGAATAGATTAAAAAAATAATTAAAATTAGTTATTTTGTAATAAATCGATGTTATTTTTTTAAAAATATTATTACTAATTAAATGTATTAACTACAATTACTATTTTCATTAACTCCGCCTTTGTCCTCACTTGAAACTATCATACTTTTAGGGTTTATAACATAAAACTCGTTTCACGTATACTTTCTCAATCACAAGTTGTATGTCCAGCTGTGGCAGCGCCATTTCTCATCTTAACATTAATATGTTTGTTTGTGTGCGTGTGTCTGTGTGTGTTTTATTTTATTAGATACAGTAAAAAAAAAAAAAGTAGAGCCATGAATGCTTTTTCACTGCAAAGGCAAGCTTTGACAATTTTAATTTCTATGGCCGGATTGAGAATTTTAAATTTTTATTAAGGACAAATATTTGGTGAAATAATTTAGTAACTGATAGTATCTTAAATAGGATTACTTTCAATAAGAAAATACCTATACTTTAGCTAAAAAAAATATTTGGTAGAATACATTATTGTTTGTCGTTGGATTTCATTAAATGTTCTTTTCTATAGAGGAGCATACGTACGTAGGCATGACTATTGATCTTTTTTGAATCTGCTTGAAATATATAATTCACTTATAATATATATTCATAATATCTCTATAATGGTGCTGTATTGCTGAAAATCAGTTTCAAAATTAAAACGACTTAAATCTTATGTGAAATTATAACTATATTATTACAAGATGGATTTAATATTGCAACAAGCATTTTTACCTATTGAGAATAAGACATGAGAATCACTCAATTATATAATTAATTTCAGTAAATAATCTCTCAACTCAAATTATATATATATATATATATATATTAAATCCCTCCAATAATTTTACTTTCTAGCTAGACACGGCCATGATACACAGTGAAAACACTGCTTTAATTAGTTTGTAAAAATGCAAATCTTAAGAAAACACTAGAGAGAGAGAGAGAGCTAAATGTGTTCATAGCATTAAATTTAATTAATTTTTTTAAAGAGAAATTAAAAGTGGGATCATGGGGTGTGCATGGGAATGAATGCAGTCGTATTTGCCATCACAAACACCAAGTGGCCTGAAAAGGCTGAGAGAGGAGGAGCTGGCGGCCGTGAGAGGCAATGGCGACGGAGAGAGAAAGAGTACCGACAGAATTTACGACTACGACCTCTATAACGACCTGGGTGACCCTGATTCCGACATCGATCTCGCAAGACCCGTTCTTGGCGGCTCTCTTCGTCCCTACCCTAGACGCTGTCGTACCGGTCGCAAACCTTCTTCTGCAGGTACCCTTCTTTCAACCTGCTACATTCCCTGTTCAATTTTGTGTATTAGAACTTTTACATTTCAGATATATCCGCAATTGAACTGTCTACACTGGTCCAAGCTGTTATTTACGTGGGTTGCATTATATAGATGCTTAATTGCGGAACTGTGTTGTGATTTGTATACGCAGACCCACATTCGGAGAAGAGAAGCTCAAGTGTGTACGTTCCCCGGGACGAAGCATTCTCAGAGACAAAGCAGACTCAGTTCACGACAACCACAGTATCTGCAGGGGTGAGTGCACTGATACAATCCTTAGATGCGGCGGTGGTAGATCAAAACCTTGGATTTCCCACATTCTCAGAGATAGATATGCTTTTCAAAGAGGGGTATAATGTACCGCCTCTCAAAAACAGTGGCAATGGTCTCCTCCAGACGCTCATCCCCAGCCTCATCAAAGCTGTTTCAGATAGCCGGCAAGTCTTGCGCTTTGAGGCCCCTGAAACTATCAACAGTAAGTATAATCTAATTCAAAATTTAAGCCAACAGAAAATAGCTGACAAATGATCTTATAATTACCAATTAATTCACTGTCTGTAACTCTCTTTACTTGATATGTTTGTGAAATTTGGAATTACAGGGGATGAATTCTTTTGGTTTTCTGATGAGGAGTTTGCCAGGGAGACTCTGGCAGGTGTTAACCCCTGCACCATAAAACTGGTCAAGGTACGATTTGATGTGAATATATTACACTTCTTCATTATTATATTATCTGTATATTTTTCAATAATTTTATATGTTTTCTTATCGGTCTATTTTATATTAATCGTGCAGGAATGGCCACTGGTCAGTAAATTAAACCCCAGTATCTATGGTCCGCCAGAATCAGCAATCACCAGAGATGTAATTGAGCAACAGATAAGTGGCTACACCGCTGTTGAAAAGGTACTCTATCAAGTTAATTGACCATAGTTGTTACGCAATGTTACGGATTATTTGTTTAGTCCTGCATGTTATAGTTTTAACTAAACACATTATCCAACCATGGTCTGATCACAGTCGAAACGATGGACTGTAATGTGCACCATTGTTTTCACTGATCTAATAATAACCGGTCATTTCAGTAAAACATTGGTCATAACTCATAGGATTGTTTGATGAATATATATGTGCGCGCGCGCAATGCAGGCCATTGAAGAGAAGAAGTTATTCATTATAGATTACCATGATTTACTAATGCCATATGTGAGCAAAGTGAGGCAACTTGAGGGAAGAACGTTGTACGGATCAAGGACAGTGTTCTTCTTGACCACACAAGGCACATTGAAGCCACTGGCCATTGAGCTAACTAGACCAGCGATGGATGGGAAGCCACAGTGGAAGCAAGTTTTCACGCCTTCTGGTGGTTCCACTAATATTTGGCTTTGGAGACTTGCCAAAGCTCATGTCCTTGCCCATGATTCTGGTGTTCATGAACTTATCACCCATTGGTTCGTATTGTCGTGCCTTTATCTTCTACCCATCTTTCATGCATCGAGTTACTTTTGTTTTCTTCATGAAAGCTCCTTGTTCTATTAAAATAATAATAATAATAAACATAGGCACTGATATGCTCACGTTTAGGTCATCAAACATGAAATATCAGATATATAATTAGTCGTTTTGTGAAGTAACAGAGGGATGCTAAGTGCATTTACTTATATGGAGTTCGTTGTTCTTCTTGAGGACTAACTTATACGTTTACCAAGTAATTAGTTTATTATGTATGAGCATAACCTCATAGTCATCTCTGAGACCACTTAATATCAATCAGTTTATTCCAAGATTTTTTACCACTTTGAAAATTTTTATTTTGTTTAAATTTTATTGCAGAATAGAGTAATACTTTATAATCTATTTAATTTTCTGGTAATGATACTATATTACTATGTAATCTTTTGGTCAGCTAATAATGTCATGGTAGTATGGTCCAAGTATGTCTGTGATTTCTAATTAAAACATTCCATTTGATAGGGCTCAATAGAAGTTCAGGATTGCCTTTGAAGTAAGACTAAGTGTGTATGCCAATATTTGCAGGCTAAGAAGTCACTGTGCTGTAGAACCATTTGTGATAGCAACAAATAGACAGCTGAGTGCGATGCATCCAATTTACAGATTGCTACATCCTCATCTGAGATATACGATGGCAATCAATGCTCTTGCTCGTCAAGCACTCATCAGTGCTAACGGCATCATTGAGATCTCTTTCTCAACCGGAAAATATTCTATGGAGTTCAGCTCTGAAGTGTATAACCAACTTTGGAGATTTGATTTACAGGCACTTCCCAGTGATCTTATTGACAGGTACATATATGCTCACCACTGTCCATCTAGTGATACTGTCTAATTATGTTTGAGCTGGGACATGTGCCACTTAGATACAATCTAATGGCAGAGGAAGATCCTAATGCATAAAGCACAAGCACACTTGTTTTGAGGCCTGATACACAAGTTGAATGATATTTTTACGACTTCATACTGACATGTATTTACAATATTCGTATATATAAAATGTATAGTTGTAACACAACTGATGCACATCGATAAGAGAAAAAGATTATTTTAGAATAGACATAATTTTTGTTGCTGCTGCTGCAGAGGAATGGCAGAGGAAGATCCTAATGCACCACACGGCCTGAAGCTTACAATAGAAGACTATCCTTTTGCCAATGATGGCCTCCTTATATGGGATGCCATCAAGCAGTGGTTCACAGACTATGTGAATCACTACTATCCAAACCCAAGCCTCATAGAGTCAGACCAAGAGCTCCAAGCATGGTGGACTGAGATCAAAACAGTGGGCCATGCAGACAAGAAGAATGAGCCGTGGTGGCCAAATCTCCAAACCCCACAAGACCTAATTCACATCCTCACCACCATAGCCTGGTTAGCCTCAGCTCATCATGCTTCTGTGAACTTTTCCCAATATGCTTATGCAGGCTACTTCCCCAACAGACCCTCCATTGCCAGAAACAAAATGCCTACAGAGGACGCATCTAAGGAAGAATGGGAGAGATTTCTGATCAAGCCTGAGCAAACCCTTTTGGAGAATTTCCCTTCACAGATTCAGGCCACTATAGTGATGGCAGTCCTGTATCTGCTATCTAATCATTCCCCAGATGAAGAGTATATCGGGCAGAAGATAGATCCTTCATGGGCTGAGGATCCAACCATAAAGGCAGCATTCGGGAGGTTCAATGGGAGGCTGAAGGAGATTGAGGAGATTATAGACGCAAGGAATGGTGATGCAAAGTTGAAGAATAGGACTGGAGCTGGGATTGTGCCTTACGAGCTAATGAAGCCATTCTCTGGTCCTGGAGTTACTGGAAAGGGAATTCCAAATAGCATATCAATTTGAATCGGTAGCACGATTTAATCAGGATAGTAATTGTGTGTAATTTGATCCTTGGATTGTGTACGTCGATATGGCTTTGGTCCAGGAAATTAGTGGCTGAAACTAATAAAATCTTGATAAGTTGGTTCTTTCAGACTCAGTTTCTCTAACGAAATTGTTATTTTTAAAGAGTAGCTCAGGTAGAAACACAAAAGACGCAAATAGGTGACAGCCATATTCGACATTTCCTGTAATTGTGCCGTGTTACTAATTCTCAATTATTCACAAAAGTCAAAGGATAACTTGGAAACTTCTTTTGCCGAAATTCATCATATTGTTTTTTTTTTAAAACAATCAACGGAATTCTCAAGCTTTATTCAAGACTTGAAAGGCCGTTGAATTTACAAAATGGAAGGGAAAAAAAATGGAACAAGTGATCTTTATAAATAAAAAAAATCACTAAATAACAAAAATAAATTGAGTCATAAATTATGACAAAATATAAAAATAATACGTTTTTCTTTTTTTGCTTAAAACCTTTCAAGATATTTCATTTTCAACCATTTGCAAAATATCTTTTGTATTTATTCATTTTACCGTGATTGCATGCTTAAAAAGTTTTCATCAAATGTTAAATTTAATACATATGATTAATAAAAATATTTTAAGAACGATACAATCTATTTATTATAAATAACTAATCTAACTAATTTTTTAATATTCAAAAATTAGTTATCTAAATACTACTACCTCCAATCCTAATTATAAGACCCAGTTGACTAATTTGAGGAAATTAAGGAAAGAAATTAAGTTAGTTATTTGTAATAAATAGGTGTTGTCTTTCCTAAAATATTCTTACTAATAAACTATATTGGTTAGAACTACAATTATTAGAAGGACTACCTTGAAAAAAATGCATAAATATGAGAGACAAAGTAGATTAGAGTCTTATATTTAAGATCAAAATAAAAATCAAATAGTCTTATATTAAGGATCGGAGGTAATACTTGATAGTTGATACCATATTGAGTTTTTAACCTGTTGCGTCCAGACACCTGCCCACACCACCCAAGTTAGCAGCTCATGGAGTATAAATTGTGAATTCACTTGACTATAAATATAGACCCTTCATTTTTGGGAACACAAGCATAATTCAAAACATGAAAACCAATAGCATCACATGGCTCTGCAGGGCATTAAGACGATGGTTTTAAATGCCCAAAAATAGACATTTTGTTATCCTTAATCCTCATCAACCCACGTCAAGGGAACGAGGGGGGGGGGGAAAGATTTGGAAATAGATGAAAAGGTTCACAGCACTACTAAATAATTGTTCGGAAGGCAAAATTGATCAAAGGATCACGTACACTGTGTCTGTGAAAGTACTGTGACAAATCCAAAAACTAGAATCTAAAATCTAAATGATCTCTTGCGAATTATTTTCTTCATACCCAGAAACAAAACAATTTTTCACATGCAAACTTTGAGAAAATTAGATTAAACATATTTTAAAGGGAAAATAAAAAAAATAAAAAAATGGAAATGCAAAAATAAAAAATTAGAACCCGTTACAATATTTATATAGGTTTTGCCAACAATTGATTTGCAAATGACAACATAGTTTTCAGAAAATCTTAAATTTGCAATTTTGCAATTTCCCCAATCTTTTTTTTGTGCGGCAATTTTCCCTTTAAAGAAATCATTAAAATCAAACCTATCCAAATTTCTTTTTTTACCTCAAGGTAGAACGGAATATCCTTTCCATGGAGAGGAACCAGACAGCCCCCGCTCACTGCAAGATGCCTTGTGGCTTAAGATTAAGAAGAATGAATTGAAACCCAAATTCCTACTCCATTAGAGCGGGTCAGGTCGCTTTGGCAGGAAAAAAAGGGGGGGGGGGGTAGGGGATATATCAACTGATTCCATGTAATACATGCTTGTTGCCTATGGGACAATACCTGTACAAATGTTAGGCAACAACTCTCTGCAGAGAATTTTCTCTTTTTTTTTTTCCTCCCTAAAATAAAGGCTATCCAAATTAAAATAAAACACTACATTTTTCTAAGCCATTCACGTATTCACTGGGCACTACACATTGCCGTCAAAGTAGTCACAAACCCACCTGAGCGTGGAAAAGAAACTTTTCAGGCTTATTTTCGATGCCTTTTCCATACAGGCTCTGACTGCGTATCTCCCTGCCAATTTTTACATCATTAATTTTTTATTTCAGGAAAGGAACCAGAAAAGGGAAGCTTGAAAATCCAGAGCATATAATAATAAACGAAAATCTTAACAGGATTAGCAAAAGACTAATTTTGCCCCCAGTAGTGTTGATTGGTTGCTTATTTAAGAAAGTCTTTAGGTGTGGCAAACCCACTACCGTTCTTTAAAAGTCATGGGAATAACAGCCGGCTAGTTGCAAACAAAAGTTCCATGAGGTGGAGAAGCATTGCATATGGGAACAGACAGTTTTGAGTGCCTAAAATTACACGCATATGCTGATTCAAAAGAAGTGGTGTTTCCAATAAGGTGGGGAGTGATGGGTTATGATTGAATCAAAAAGGCAAAATATCACATAAAGATAGGGCTATGATGAATTGAAAGGGCATAATATCACATAAAGATTTGGCACCTCGAAAGGAAACCGTATTTACCATTTTATAAGTGAGTTTACTACTATAAGAACCTAAGTTATCTTTTTAAAGAAAGAATCTATCCATCCCTTTGCATATAAATAACAGGAACGAAAGCTTACAGCATGAGAGAGTTGCTCACGAATATAAGCCATTGATCGTAACATGGCACCCAATGTGTCCCTGGAGACCTGAAACTTGACTTCAGACTCCCCAGAAGTTGTCTCAGTATCTTGAAGCTGAAACGATTTAAATTATCACGTTCAATATTTATGTACTGGACAAAGCACATAGACAGAGGATCGAGAGAGACTTTTTTGCACTACTATTACAGTTGAAACCAAAAATATAATAGGAGGCAAGATTTCAACTATTCCAATCATGCTCTTCCGATTTTATTTTTTCCTTTTTCTAATTACATCACTAGAGTTTGAACTTTTGACCTCTACCCATACCCTAGCCCATCCTCACTCGGGTGGTTTGCTCTATCTTCATTTCTTTTT